TGGAGTTCCTTTATAGACTAACGTGAAGTCACGTGACCGTGGTGGAGCTGCTTTAAAGCTTGTAAGTATAATAAACGTTTGTTTGCTACAGAGATTCATTTATGCAATAATCTAAAATCCAATGGAATAATCCCATTGGATTTTTGTCAAGAGAACCAGTGTGATGCTAACTTCCTGTTGGCCTACAAAATGACGTCACCCTTCTATTGAACTTTAGAGGTGCAGATTTTCTTACTTTTGGACAGAGCCAGGCTGTTTCCCCTTGCTTCCAGGACAAGACAGGAACTATTTTAACTATAGCTAAGGCTAAACAACAAGAGGCTATTGTAGTCACAGGCTGAACATGTTCATCCAGTGCCTGTAAAGATGCTACTTATGTAAACACAGAAAGAAAGGCCTGCTTTGTCCATGTCCCCCCCTCATTTGTCACCCTTCTCTGTTGGAGGCATTGAACTGTAGGAGTCCAAGTGTGTCACTTCAGACAGACCTGACTGGAAGCATTAAACACACACACACGTCAAACGACCGACACTTCCTGTCAACGTGCAGCTGAGACGGACAGACGATGAATAGACCGATGAGAGGATTGAATAGACCGATGAGAGGATGAGGAGGGTGTGGTGGGGAGGATCTATACTGTACCTTTGTATCTTCCTCATGCTGCGTAGTTAAAGACAGAGACAAGCACAATGAGGACAGAGAGTAAGGATCATGGAGGACAGAGCCCCCCCCCATCGGACTCATTAACAGCAGCAGAGGAACTTTGGCAGGATGCACTTTGTTAAGACGAGAGCCAAGATGGAGGAGCGAAATGGGGAGGCTGTACTTGGGGTGGAGGGGGGGATCTTCTCTCCCTGAAGCGCTTCAGCCTCGTCTCAAAACCCAGAGAGCAAATTACAGTTCCTTTTAGCTCTAATTAGGTCAAAGTTTCCCTAATGGATACAAGAAAATCCCCCTAAAAATGAAAGAAAATTGTGAGGTTTTTTTTTCTGCCTATGCAGTGGTACAACTATAATAGTGTGGCCAAAAGTATGTGGACACCCTTCTTGCATGTAGTTTGTGGTCTGAGTTTCCAACTTGGTGGCAACAGTCTCTCATTTCAGTGAGATAATTCCACCTTGTGCACAAAGCCAAGTCCATAGGTCCATAGTTTGTGAAAGAACTCGACCTCAACCCATGTAACACCTTTAAGATCAACTGGGATAAAAAACAAAAACAATAGCGCTGTGTGTTGATTTTGGTGTTGTGGCCACAGTCTGAATATAAGTGATGCAGACTGGACCTACAGGACTTTTTTTCCTAGACACAATCATAACAAAAGAATGATTTAATCCATTTTAGAAAAGTCTCAAAGAGTATCATTTAATCATAACTAATATTTATCATTCTATGCCAGGAAAGCCAGAGGAGGAGCCTAATGTGCATCCTAAATCCAAAAACATCGAAGTCTAAAGGAGCTGTTTTGAGAAGATTAATACCACTCTGTCCAGTAAATATGAAGCTTTAAATCCAGCAGTCAGATAGCTTAGCTTAGCATAAAGACTTAAGATATAAACGTCACTAATTAACACAGTATATCTCTTTTGATTAATTAGTATAAAATAAAATAGTATTTTACGCTGCAGCGTGCACCACATGTGACGAGGAACAACAACCAATCACGGCCGGTGGATTTTATTCTCTTTCTTCCACAAATAAATGTTTGTTAAAGTAAATATATGCAATCATCACCATCATCGCTGCACGCAGAGAAAGAAAGTGAACAATCTTCCACTTGCTTCCACGTTTTTGGGCCCAGAGAGAGCTGAAGGTTGAAAGTCATAATCGAATTACCTAATTTGTTAGTGCACCAAAGATGCTGCCGAACCATTTCTCTCTAAAGATAAAGTATCAGACTATGTACTTTGCATGTCTGGAGATTATAGCTATAAATAGTTCTCACTGGCCAGATTAATGTAGAAGCTAAGTGCAGTGTGTGTCCTTCAACTGGTCCTGCTCGGTACAGAGAATGATGGGAAATTATTATCATTTTTATTCCTCACATGAAGGCACAAAGATCCCCCGGAGGTGCACATTTTAGTGTCTGAACATCAATTAACTTTTTTAAAAGGGATGTGAGCACTAAGTAGAAATTTAAAATCCAACTTTACAACCATGCACTGAGCGAAATCTAAAATCTTTTGTACATAAAAACCTGTAATTCAAAGGGAGCCTCACTGTGCTTTCCATTGAAAGCCGGGCTCTATTGATCAGATCTAACACGCAGACACACACACACACACACACGCTGGGTCCAGGTTTAATTAGCTGGGCTACTTGTGGTCTCCGGACTGCAAGGCTTAGTCTAGCCGCAGGGCCTTATAAGACCAAGGGTGTATTAATGCATAAAAGGAAGAGACACGGAGACAGACAGAGAAAAGAGAAAGAAAGCCTCTGACTGGGTTTCAGGTAATCCTCCTCCACAGCTTGAGGTTTGCCCTGATTCCTCATTTCACAGACTAAATGTCATCTTTCTCTTTCCTCACTTTCTTACCCCTCTCACTGGGCTGCAGATAAAGACGGATAGAGTATCCCTTTCTTATCCACCTCATAGTGAAACTGAGCATGAGGTCACCTCTCACATGGAACTCGTGCAATCAAAGGGGGAATTCTTCTCACTCTTATTTCACATGTCCGACGCTGTCAAAAAGGCAGTCATGTGGAAACTTTATGTGCCTCGAAGTGTCCTTGTCTAGGAAACAATATTTAAAGCTAACTTGTCAGAAATACGGGGGGTCTCGGGGGGGTCTGAGACGCCTTGATTGACACTTTAGACCCCCTGAAAGCCTCAATTGCAAAATTCCGGTGGGTCTCTAAAATCAAAAGACAATTACAATCATATTTCTACCGTAAATAAGGTCCCATGTTGGTCAACTGTAAGCTCTATATGTACTGTAATGAACATACACTGTATATAAGAAGTGAACGTAGTCGTCGTGTTGTCACTCATTGGTTTGTGGATGTTTTGAAGCCTTGAGTTCTTCGTTTTGGCCGTCGTCATCTTGGCTGTTTGCAACCAGTGAACAGGAAGTGACCATATCTGGACTGAGGAGGAGTGACTAGAGACGCTGTATACGTCTCTGGCAGAGACCTGTCAATCACCGTGTAGCCCCGCCCTAAAGCATCCCCTGCTTTATGGTCTGTGTGACTCTAAATGGACCATAATGTACTAAATGAACATCATGCTGTATTGAAGAAGACTTGAAACTAGAGATTGAGACCATAAACTCATGTTTACAATGTTTACTGAGGTAATAAATCAAGAGAGAAGTAGAGTCATTTTCTCATAGACTTCTATACAACCAGAGGAGTCGCCCCCTGGTGGTCACTAGAGAGAATGCAGCTTTAACACATGAAGCTTTGACTTCACTTTTCAGAACCGGAAGTTGCCGCCTGGTAACAAAGGACAATATTTCATTGTATCTTCTGACTTAACACATCTTCAGGATGTTTTGCGTGTAATCCCTAAAAACTGCAGCTATATGTGTAGAGAATGTAAACCCAGTAGAGAGAGAGGGCTCGTACCCGTCCTTCTTGTAGAACTCCAGCATCATGTTGTCCGTGGCGACGCTGAGCGGCCGACGACTCTGGTCGTTCTGCTTCCGCTCCATCAGGTCCATGTCCGGTGATGGCATCGAGCTGTAGTTGGAGTTGTGGTTGGTGTGGACCGGGCTGCCGTAGTTCCCCGTGACGTTGAACTCGATTTCTAAAGAAAGGAACGAGACGCAGAAACAATTCAGTGTTTTCATTTTCTGAAGAACTCAATCCTCCTTCCAAATAAAAAATCTATTTCCTCTTGCGTCATCCCTCCTCACCTCCGGGGAAGAACCAGTCGGCGTGCTGGATGATGGGCTCGATGATGCCGACGATCTGCAGCGAAACTGTGGTCATCATCTCTGTGATGTTGCTGCAGCGGACAGAGAGGAGAGTTTTTTTTATTTATGGTGGGACGTAGAGCATCGTATAAGGATTTACACTCAGGTGATTAGCACATCTTCATGATTTTGCAGAAGCATTAAAAAGGAGAACCGGCTGTTAAAATACTAATTAAAAGTTAGAGAGGAATAAAGAGTTTGTGAGGTTTACACAGAGATGTAAGGGAGGTGTCCTTCACCCTTTCCAAACTGGTTACTCATCATCTTCATGAGTGAACTTCATGATAAAATTTGTGCCTATTGGCCATTTTTGTTATTAGCACTTTGAGCTCTAAGCAGCATGATGAATATTAGCAGATATTCAGATTCTCCACTGAGAAGCCCCGCGGATACGGAGTCTTTCTCTCTTCTATACGGCGTTTCTTTCTGCATGTGTTGCACAACCCGTAGCTGTGGCGTCATAGTGAGGTTATTAGGAGGTGGTTCAACTGTAGTAGGACAGCACTGAAGGCCCAGGTATAAAACACATGGCCCGCCACTGATACCAAACATGAATAACTAGATTTTTCACATATGAAATCACCATATAAAGTGAAATCTAACTGGTAGACTGAACAAAGGAAACACTGAGGTTCATCCATGACACCACAAAACCTGCATTTTATTTCCCCCCTCACACAAGCCATAATCCTCACAGAAATTAATACGAGCTCCTACTGTGTAACATGATTAATTTTACATTCTAGTGGACATCCCACTGTTTCAAAAGATACCAAATATGACAGGTTGGATTTAGAGGAAATGTGTAAAATGATGCACAAAGACATTTAGAATAATTTAATGTCATTGAACGGTGCAGCCATAAAAACATGGCGTCTTGGATCTAAATATTCCACTTTGTGTGAATGTTGGTCAAGACAATATATCATGATACTTATTATATATAACATTTATTTAATCAGGCCATCTCATTCGAGAGTACAGAAGAGAGAAAGAAACACAAATATAACGAGACAAACTAAAGCTCATCAGAGACAATCCCAGAATCACTAAACAGATTTAAATGTTTAAAAGTGGGATTAGTTCTTCAAATTTTTTAATCCTCCGTAATTATTTCTATTTATAAGATGCAATGTTGTGGAAGGCAGTTTTCCCAAGTTCAGTATTTTCCTGAAGGGGAACTAGAGTTCAACAGGCCTGAGATCTGATTTGATGAGCAGTGGTTTTAAATTTGAGAAGAGAGGATTATACACTGAGGCAGCTTCTGATACTATAATTGGAAGATAATGGATGATTGTTTACAACCTTAGAGCGAGTTTAAAGGGGACTTATTATGAAGTGCTAGTGTCTACCAACCCACAAACGATGAAATAAGACAACCCAGTCAGATTTCTGTGGGCTGCTTGAATCAGAAAACATGTGATTCAACAAACCAATCAGATTTGTCTCCCCTTCCTCTGTCACATGCAGGTTCATGAGAATATATCGTCCCCACCTGAGTATCTCCGCTAATAACTTAAGAACTATCTCTGCAAAGATGCACAACATTTTTCTCACAAGCCAATCAGAGCAGACTGGGCTCTTAAAGAGACAGGCGCCAAAACGGAGCGTTTCAGACAGAGGGGGAATACATGTATATTCAGACAGACAATGTGATACATTCTACGTGTTTTTTGAACATTAAAGCATGTAAACATGTTCTAGTAGAAACACAAAACGTCAAGCATGAACCTGAAAATGTGCAGGATATGTGACCTTTAAGGGGAATTAAGAGAGGAAACCTGGACGTTAAGAGGTTAACTCTAATTATGATCTTGTCTAGCTTAAAAGATTTAAGCAGTTGTAGAAATTAAAACATAATTTTCATAACAGAAGACTCTTCAATAAAGAATGCATAGATTTTGAAAATGAATCAAACGTGCAGTCTGAGATCCCACTTGAAGTTGTACTTTATATTCTTAATGTTGTTCTATAAAAGTCAGTTGACTACTGCGACTCTGCATCTCTGCTGACTCACCCTTCGTCATGCATCCACAGCAGATTCGGTCCGAGGACAATAGCGATGTTTCCAGGCGTCATCTTGTTCACATCCTGGTCTTCGGTCAGTTTGGAGAGGAATTTAATCAAATACCTGAAAATACAGAAACAGAAAAACAGGTTAAAATAAAATTAATTTAGCTTTTGTCAAAACAAGTTATTAGAAATAATTCAACTTTTTTAGAAAAACATGATTTATTTGTGATTTGATTATATAAATTAAAGGTACCATGTTGTCGCTGTCCTGTGAAAACTATGCATGTTTAAAACAGCAACTTCTCACACGCTACAAAACACAGCTCGGTTTTCCACTTTGTGAGAATGAATTTTTCCTGCAAATCCAACAGTTTTTTTTAATGGTTTATTGAACTCAAGTCAAGTTTATCTGAAAAATAAAAAAAATCACCGCATTTGGAGCTACAATAGTAGGATGTATTAAAACAACAGAATTGTTGATATCAATATCGATATGTTTTATTAATAAAAGCGGCTTCTGTTCTTTCCTGTTGCTTTCAACTGTTAAGTTCTTTATCACACGCATGTTAAAATTACAGGACGGTTTTTAAAGGCAAACAAACACAATAAAACGATGACTGTTTTCAAACTTTTTTTTTGTGCAAATAACTAAACAAAAGCAGAAACTACCATCAGTCATGATTCACAGCAGTGAAAATGCTCCAAGCGAGGCTCCGCTCTCCTCTCATCCTGAGTGCAGGCCGTTGTTTGAACAGCTCTGCTCTTTGATGAAATATAAATGAGTGTAGAAGAGAAAGACTGAGGCCTTTTCTGTATCGATTCTATTGATGCTAGAATCAGACTTCAAAACGAGACGTAGGTATCTGTAGCATTGATATTATCTTATAGATCCGCTCACTCCTACTGCATAGTTTTCACTGGACAGCTGTGATGTACTAAACTAAATGAGCATCAGTGCAAAAGGCTTAACATTTCTGGGAATGCATGAATTCAGCAGCTCAGGTAATGACTCGCTGTCTGGCAGCCGTTGATACTGGGCCAAATGTAAAGCCACATTCCCACAGATCTACTTCCCTGTCATGTTTTCAGTAGTAGTGAAATGAGACGTGTAAAGTGAGAAACGTGGGAAATAACAGAACAATATCCAAGGTTTCCCACCCTCTTTATGATTAAATAAGGTACTTATTTTGTGTTATTACTTCAAACTATTCTCCCTGTTCCTTCTCTTCGTGGGTTTTCTGAGAGACAACAATGGTCCAGTGTGTTTCTGTGGGAGCAGCTGAGCTGAATGACTCATCCTGAGCTGAACTGTTGAATGAACATCAGGTATGTCATCGCAGCGAGCGGCGATCATCTGGACAGGTCTGACAGGTCTTCTCAGGAGGACGACTGTCTAAAAATACACCCTATTTGTGCGATTCGATGTCGACACTGACAAGAGCTGCAGCATCTCTGTTCCTACAATTTCCCTCCCGTCACTTTTCTCTCTTCCTCTTCCTCCTCGCCGCGGCTTTTGATCATGAGATATGCCCTTCACCAAATATACATGGCTCGCCCTGATCCAGCAGCAAATACAGCAGCACCTCAGCCTTAAGTCCTCCTCTCACCATCTTGGTTTTTGGCCGTCGCCATCTTGGTTTTTTGCAACCAGTGAACAGGAAGTGACCATATTTGGACTGAGGAGGAGTGATG